ACACTTATGCATAACCAAATTCATTTAGTTGCTTAGTTCAACAAGAGTCTTTCATTTTAACATGATACACTCTCTTTGAAGGCAATTGTTGCTATAAATAGCATCCCTTCACAATTTCATGGGAAGTACACATTTAAAAGTAAATTCAATCACTAAATCTGTCATAATTAGTATACAGTATAACCAGCATGACATTTTATGTTTCCAAATTATACAGAATACACTCCCCTATGTCATTTGGTTTCAACATTTCTCAAAATTTGACTTCTGGTATGTGTTTGAGATTTCATCTTACACTTTAACTTAATCCTTTTTCAACTCATATCAAATCAATTAACACAATAGTAGGGGACCAAGAATGGGACCCAGGATGGCAATCTGAATTCCCAAAGAAGGCCACAGAGGGCTCAAAATATTTTTTTTCACATTAAATTTTACCTATGGTTAGCCCTAGTTAAGTCAATTAAAATTATCACTCATATTAACTTTGATATTCTACATAGAGAAGTGACCTAGGCAATGAAAATATATCCTGAAAAATACAACACAGCATCTTTATCCCTATATTTGTACTTGCAAGAGGAAGAGGATACATGTGGGATGGGTAGTGAGCAGGGACTAGGGGAGGGAAGAGAAGGGAACAACAAACTTTGTTCTAAGGCTGGCCTTGTCCAATTAAACTGTAATTGGAGGCATCACCAACTTTTGGGAAGTGGTCTAATTCCAGCAGATGGCAGCGCTGCATAACATGTAGTTATTTGAAAAACAAAACAAAACAAACAAAACAAACCAAAACAAAAACTTTCTTGAATCTCTGGACTATTTAAGAAGAAAAAACTTACAAATAATTCCTTTTTTTTTTTTTTCGGTACGCGGGCCTCTCACTGTTGTGGCCTCTCCCGTTGCGGAGCACAGGCTCCGGACACGCAGGCTCAGCGGCCATGGCTCACGGGCCCAGCCGCTCCGCGGCATGTGGGATCTTCCCGGACCGCGGCACGAACCCGTGTCCCGTGCATCAGCAGGCGGACTCTCAACCACTGCGCCACCAGGGAAGCCCTAAATGATTCCTTTTTAGAGTTGAGAGGTAATTGTTAAAGTATAACCCCAGGCCCTGAAAATCCCTGTTTTTAATTTAGCCAAATGCAGCCCAAAATCCCAGCAGTCCCCAAAGTTCCAGACACCTTTGTGGATCCCCTCACCAGAACATTTATTAGTGTCAGCTTGTGTTTGATTTTGCATTGGCCTTAGGAATCGACTAGAACTTCAGGTAGCCACATAAAGAGGCTTCCCCACATCCTCTTCCCTTACTCCCCAGCTTCTTCCCCTGAAAAGAGTAGAGGCTGTTTCCAACCCACTCAATTCCATACCTGAGTTCCTCGGAATCATCTCAAATTTCTCTGGCAGAGCACGAATTCTTCCTCTCCTGACGCCCAGAGAACCAACGCCCTTAGCCTCAGTCAGCGTTTAAACACCTCTTGGGATTATTCTCACCTGAGTTAGTTTCAATTTACCAATTAGGAAGTACACCTGAGATCATGGAAGGGGTGGTACGTGTATTTTGAATTCCCCACCATATATAACATGGTGCCAGATTCCAAGGAGGTGCTTAATAAATAGTTTTGGTTGATTAACTCCTCTCACCAACTCTTAAAAAAGTTAGCCAGTACGCCGTCTGATTTTCAGTCATGCCCTGTGAGTTAGAGGCCAGCCACAGTACCGGGCAAGACGCCAGTCAGGGGCTTCTGCTCCCGGCCAAATCCTGGAGCAGGGTTTTCATGTAAAGTAAAAGCAGCTTGTGTGGTCCCTGTAACTGAAACCCCATCTTTTCACGATGAGACTCCTGCGCTCCACCTTTTCCCAATATTCCAGGGCTCCTTTGCACGGGCAGTGCCTCTTGCCCAGGCCTCCCACTCAATTTGATCACAACAGAGCTATTTAATTACGTCTGTCTGGGTTCAACACAGCTGTATCATTTTTACATTCAGGCCTTAATCTAAAGTTTTAATTAATATATTTCTACCAACTCTTCTCTTTGCCACCTTTATTCCCTTTCCCAAACCTGCCCCATGATACTCAGTGCTCTGGAGCTCCTGCTATTGACGTGACACTTCTTACCAGGTGTCCTATTTAGGGCCACTGAATTGGGAACATCTAACATTTTCTATGCATTCTGGGTGCAAGAGCTACTTCAAGCAAACCTGACCTTCAGTCAGCCCTACCCTTGCTGCATTATAATGCTCTTTAGCCGTTTCTTCCTTCGTTCTTTTTTTCATTTGCTCACTTATTGTTTTCACTCATTCACCAAGTGTTTATTGAGTGACTATGAATTAGGCACTGGACTCAGTGGTAAGTGCCCCGGTCTGGGAGGATTCCACATGCCGCGGAGCGGCTGGGCCCGTGAGCCATGGCCGCTGAGCCTGCGCGTCCGGAGCCTGTGCTCCGCAACGGGAGAGGCCATAACAGTGAGAGGCCCGCGTACCCCCGCAAAAAAAAAAAAAAAAAAGTGCTTTGTATTTAATTTTAGACCAATCCTAGGTCCTGGACCCCTCAAAGAGGGCTCTGACACTTAAATAATTACGAGGAATAATGCAAGTAATAGTGATCAGTCTCTCCCAGAATTCAGAAGCACTTTTCACTTATTTGACACCTCCTTAAGCTTCAGGTAGATAGACCACATCGGGGCTGGGAACGAAGCAGGAAGAGTTTTAGCCTGCAATTCAGACGCCCAAAGGAAGACTGCGGCAAGCAAGGGGTCCCCATCAGCTTTGTAGGTAATGATGTGGCTCTTGAATAGGTGATACTGACCACCCATACCCTCCGCTAGCATGTTCTTGCCAAGTTAATTATTCCTTGTTCTGTCAACATATTTCAAACAGCTTCATCAGGGGTGTAGGGAAAGGGGTAGATAAATGCTGGGGGATGGGTACATCAAGTTCATTGTACTTTTCTTTCTGGTTTTGTATATGTTTGGAAATTTTCATAATAAAATGTTTTAAACATCAATCTTTTTATCATTATTTAATATTTTTCCCAATCCTCCCACCAAATATTTCTCTGTGCTAATGGGACAAAATCCAAGTCATCTCTTACTGGTAGCTGCTCTGGCAACATGTATAAAAATGTATGGTTCAGTGGAGTTTAAAAAAAAAAGACAAACTTTGAAGCATGAGAAGAAAAACTCATATCTACCTTGAATTCACACTATTTCATTTCAATAAACAATTTCCAAATTAGACCTATTGGGACCAGGAAGATGAGTGCCAAATAGATATTACCATCTTCATCATCACTGGGCAATGGTATAGGCACTTCAGAAAGAACTCACCTCTTGACTGAGAAAGCGTGACTTTGGTAATGCGGAAGGTGGGACAAAGCGTGCTGCCCAGCCTTCTCCACATCCTCCCATCCCCCCACCCCCCGCCCCGACAAATACTCCCAAAGAGGAGCCTGGATCAATAGACAGCAAATTAAGCCACTTAGCCTGGAAGTAGTGGTCTTGATAGAACCAGACTCTTGGAAAGATTCTTGGAAATTTCCAATCCAGGATCCTCCCATCTATACTGATTGGAAGACTGCAGCATAACCCAGAGGATTTCATCTGCCCAAGGAAGGGCTTATTTCCAAATGGTTTCTTGAACCCACATGAGAAGATCTGAGCAGGTGCAAAGGGAGGGAGGCAGACTCCAGCATCAGACGGCTTCCTAGTTTTACAGGAATTCACTACAGGCACTAGAGTGCAGTGACTGCAGAGTCAGAAGACGTGGGACCTAATGCCTCAGTTTCCATGTCTATTAAATGGTGATAATACAGACTGTTACGGGGATTAAATAAGACAATGCATAGGAAGTGCTTAACACGGTAGCTAACACATTGGAAGTTCTCAATAAATGGTTCTGCTTTTTGTAAATTATTTGATCGCTTACCACATCTTTATATGCCAGTTACATCCTGGCATAATCCAGACAGAGCCACTCACAATACAATCCAAACACTTTGTGCAGGGGAAAAATGTTTTTCCAAACATGACTATCAACTCATTTTATTATGCTTTTGAAATAAGAAAATATTATCATCAATAGCCAATCTGTTAGCGAAATCACAATCTGAACAAAAGGCCAAATGGTACAGTGTATCTACAGAAGTTAGACATTTCGTTTGCTCTTCTACTCATTCAATTTCAAAGTAGAACTTGCAGTGATATAAAGAAATATTTAAGATGTAAAATCATCCCACCACAATTTTGTTCTTGATTCCACAAAACAAACACATCATTCCCATGAATTACTCCATTTTGAAATAAACAGTATAGACAAATGGAACATAACAGTAAAATTTTGTGTCGATGACAATGGTAACCTCTAAGATCTACATTTTCCTTACTGGTTTCCTAAAAATGCCACTCCAAAAAGAAAAGTAAAATACAAATGTATGCATGTATAAAGGCAGAATATCACAAATATTTTATACAAATTTTTAAAAGCTCTGATCTCTATGCTCATTTTTCATGAGTACTTATAATGCTTTAGAGAAATTACATCACAGAACCAGATAAACAAAATTTTACTGTGATCATCACTAGGAAAAAATATGTATAAGAATATTTATAACTCTTTATATTTCAAAAAATCTTTAGGCTTGAAGATTCAAGAAATGACATTTAGTGTAAAGTGCTATTCCAAACACATAAAACTTCATTTTAACTTTGACTGTTTACAGATATTTTCCAAATATTGTTTTAAAATTGCAAATGACAAAGGAAGTGTTTCACAACTAAATTCTCAAACTAAGTATAAAGATAACAGGAAACATTCCTGTTTTCTCTTTGGAAAACACCTATGAGATATTAGTTTTCTGCCATCAAATCAAGTCAGCATTTCATTCGGAAAGCAGTGTACTAATATATAATTTTATATATATATATTTAAAATCCAGTTATAGGCAAAGACTCTTGCTGAATGTGCTTAGTCAACCCTGGATCTTCCTCATGGCTGTGTTTTTTCTCTCAGCACCCCTGGCAAGGCATTTGTGAGATCTGTTGGGGGACAGTGGATTGAATGGCCTTCAGGGTCAAAATAGTTCCCTGAGGTTCAGATTTTAAATTTTTGAATAATTAAAATCCCCTTTCAATTGTATAACTTGCCCCTGTGTTACAAGTGCAACATGATTTGGGATTCAGGATTATAATTCAGAGGACTTAAAATGGTCGGAGACAGGCTGGGGGATCTGGCCTTTCTCTTCTCTCCCTATGCCCTCCCTCTTCAATCTGAAGACTTTATCCCACACCACAGGAAAGTAGGGTACTTGGGAATGAGCAAACTATAATCCAATGAGTTAAGGTATGTGATTATAAACTGTAAAACAACACACCACTAGCCTTCTTAACTTTGTCCTCCCTCTCCCCTGACCAAAGCTACAATTTGTGGGAGGGCTGTGATGCTGAGGTTAACCCCTGAAGTCTTCTCATTCAGCTGAAAAGGTCCACTAATGATTATCTATAAAGAGATGAAGAGCAGTGGACATTGGAACAAAAATTAACACAGGGAGAAAGGAATCTCAGCTTCAGAGTATCTCTAGAATAATATTTTTCAGGCCAAATTCCCAAGTCCTGTTTTGGGTAATGAACCTAAATATCTGATCTGAAAAGAAAACTTTCACCAGAGACCTGCTGATTCAAGAATTCAATTCCTGCCCAGTTGGAATGCTGCCAACATTTTTCCATTCCTAACAGGAATTGTCTACAGTTTAAATAAATGCTTTATTTCTAAAGGAAAAAAAAAGGGAAGCATTAGAGTTAACATTTCTGGTAAGATTTAGAAATCGCCCATGTGTCTTGGTATGTTCTACTCAATTTAGAGCAAATATTATATGTGATAGCAACAGAGGTGAGCGTCTGGTTGGAGGTTAAGTGCCTCGTTTTAGGAAAAGAGCTTTCAGTGGTGGTGGAAGGTGAGGATGACAAACCTTCTTCCTAGTGGAGTTTCTCATTAGCATTTGAAACAGGTTGTTGAAGAGTACTTTAGGTTCTTCAAAAGGCAATGATTAATACAGGACCCCCTTCTCTGAACAGCATAAAGAAACCTACATGTCAATGTTTCTGTTTACCTTCTAACTGAGGAGGGAAGATGGAAGGGCAGAGAATTTGAAACAAAGCTGCGTCCAGTGTCATCTGCTTTGGTCGTGCCTTGAAATTACCTCTATTTACAGTGAATTATATCAGCTAGGTCCTAACATTCTCCATAGTGTGATGCTCACTGCCCAAAAGATGCGAGTTCAATTATGAGTACAAATCCCAAAAGGGGATACTCTGAGCCAGTCCAGCTTGCTTTGTTATTTGCTATTTTTCCATTACAAACATATTAATAAAACGATAAATTTCCTTAGAAGGCAATACTTCTGCCAAAATAAAATCCTTCAGAAACATGTACAATACAGTGGTCCCACCTCTTTCAGCCCTGAAGATTCAGGCTCAAGGCCATTGATCATGCGGGGTTGGAACCAAGCATTGCTATAGCCACAGACTCCCCATCTTTCTGATCTAATTCTCTTGCTACAGAATAAGCCACCGATCCATTGGTCCATAGCTGCAGCTTGGGATCTGACTCTTTGGCAAGGAACTGCAGCTGGGTTTTTCTCATCTTCTTTACAAGTCTAGCAAAGCCAAGCAACACAGAACTAAATATCATTGAAAACCCACAGAGAAGAAACGCTGCAGTGTAGCTGCCAGTCGTGTCTACGAGCCATCCTGTAACAAGCAACAGAAAAATGATATTGAGTTGAAAATTCAATTATTTACCCATTTTCAAATCTAATAATTTGTCAGGATAATAACAATAGATGGCTAGCAACGCTGCTATTATTTTGACATAAAAAGCAGATGTCCTAAAAGTATTGTGCAGCAACTGAAAAATGCATTCTATTTTCTAGGGAAACTTCTAAAATGGGTTGTTGTTATTATGTAAAGTGCTTGGAAGTGTCACACTCTTAGTATTGACACAATAAATATTAGTTATTATTATTAATCCCATGAAATACGGTAAAAAAGATAAAAACAGCATCATTCAAATTACTGATGATGGGATTCTTTCTTTATCTAGGGTATTAAGAGAATGTAATTGTACAGAATGCTAGTAGTAGTATTCCCAGCAGCCATATACTGACTATCCTGAGTAATAGAACACGCTTCTAGATAAAGCAGAATCCAAATTTTCTGTTGGATCCAGTCATCGTACCCCATCCAGTTTGAAAATTAGAACGTTGGACCATCTTACAGTTTAAAATGCAAACTTCAGAAAGCAGAATTCTGTAATCACGGAATTTTTTTTATCTCTTTTTTTCTTTATCTTTAAAGAAAAGATAAATTTTCTTTATCTCTTCTTGCAACAAATTAACCACAATATCTCTTCCGGCTCTAAATTTTGAGGAGAACCAGAGTATATGATATGCAAAATATAGGTCACAATAATCAGAGACTCAGTGGGGTAAAATTAGACCTTGGCAGGAAATTATTTTGTGATTAAAAAAGTTTAAAAAATTTTTATTTTATATTGGAGTATGGTTGATTAACAATGTTGTGTTAGTTTCAGGTGTACAGCAAAGTGATTCAGTTATACATATACACGTGTCTATTCTTTTTCAAATTCTAAAAAGGTTTTTTAAAATTCCTCCAAACTTTACTTATATGCCAAGAAAATCCACCAGAGACGTGTATGATTTCTCCTCTCACCTACTTCAAAACGATTAGTCTAAAGAGGCATGCAAAAATTGTAAGAAGCCCTAAGTTTCCTGCAATCCAAACTACTCTCAAATATTTTAGTTATCATGTGATTTGCTTGTACATTTTTGTAGCAGAAAACAGAAGAGATTGAGTAGAGAGTTATCTTAAAAGTAATTAAATACGAGAAGTATTAAATAGGAACTCACATGCTAATCCTCTAGTACCTGGCAATGAGTATAATGTCTGATTTGCCAAATGAAGGCCATGGTTTGAAAAAAGGATCCAGGAATCCCAATTTATGTCCTATGACTTTTTAACAGAGTTACACTGTCCCTAAAGGTTGGTAAATACAAAAAAGTGGCTGTGGAGGGAGGATGTGGGAACATTTTGGGGGCATTTTCCAAAAATGAAGCACTAAACATGTAGTCCTTTATCATGGAGTTTAAACTGACGAGGAACTTTCATCAGCAGCTGTCAAGCAGTCAGTTTCCCTTGGTTTGATGCTTTAGCAATTGCTGGAGTTTAGAAATAAGCCGAACTTTGTATTCATAATAGCAGCTAAAGCAGAAATCCTGCGTTCTTCAAAAAATTCCCTCCCTTCCTTCTAAGCAAATGCTTGACTCATATCTCTTCTGCCTATCTTCAGAGAACTTCTTCACTCTCGTTTTTAATTTAGGCAGGTAATAATCTGGACCAATTATTCTCAATCTTTAGTGTACAGGAGCATCACAAGAAAACTGGCTGAGAGTGTAGATTCCTGGAACTCACCCCCAAAGGTCCAGATCACAGAGGGAGGGTCAAGGAGTCTGCATTCTAACAAGGGCCCCAGGGGATTCTGATGCAGGTGGTCCCAAGACCTCATTCTGATAGACACTGGTCTAGACCACACACCCCAGCAAGAAGGCATGGGTTCTGACCTGTTTGCTGCTATACCGACAGCGCCAAACACAGTGCTGGTGTACACAGGCAAGAAAGATTTGTTGAATTACTTGTTTAATGTATGCAATAAATATTTGTTGAATTATTTAATGCATGCAATGAATAGTTGTTGAATTACTTATTTATGTTTTTAATTTTTATATCATTTTTACAGTTTACAAAACATTCTAGATGCTTTATCCTGAATCCCAAATCTGTATATCCAAGTCTGGCCTCCCTCAAATTCTCAGATTTCATCCTTAAACAGCACTACTGAGCATTTTATTGGGTATTTCTGATATCTGAATATGTCTAAACATTAAATTTTTAGTATTTTTCTGGCAAAGCTACTCTCTCCAGCTTCCTTATTTCTTTCAACTATGCCATTATCTCCTAAGTTATCTTGGACTTCTTTCCCTCTGTTATCACCACATGCTAAATCCAGTTGATTTTTTTCCCCCAAATTTCCCCCTCGCCCCAGAGCTCATTCTCATTTCTGCTGCAGCAGCTCTAGTTCAGGCCTTTATCAGATGGCTCTTGAACTATTAGGATAAAATCCTGTTTCTCCCCTAAGTTACCAGATCAATTGCTAGACCACGTTTTCTAAAATATACTCTTTACTATACTACCCCTTTGCACAAAAGCTGTAATACTAGCAATATTCTCTGAAGTGTATAGGGCCCCACTCCTTCGGCTGGCACTCAAGACATTCCACTATGACACCCGCACTTCATCATTTCAGCCTCACCGCCTACCGCCCCCCCTACTGGAATCCTGTTCTCCTGCCAGCCTTCCCTCTGAACGTGCCCAACTTATTTATAAGTCTGAACAGCTGCTTCATTCCATTGCTTCTATCATTAGTATGGAATGGAATCAAGATCCTAATTTGGGATTTTTTCTTTCCAAGTATGCTAAGGTCCCCCAGTTAGTGGGAAGAAGATTATAATACAAGGATGTAGGTGAGACCATGATGTTTTGGTGGCTCTGGCATCCCTTTCTCTTTCACGCTTCCCAACTTACTTCCAATCCTCATGGGTGTGTGTGAGTTCACTGTTTTTACATCAATATGACAGAGAAGAGGTGACTGAGGGTTCTCTCTGCAAACTTACCTGCGATGGGTGGGCTCACCAAATACGGCACTGCATGGAGGAAGTACACCACGCCAAGCGCTGATGACAAAGAGGTGGTCCCCACGATCTCTGCAGTCACTACTGGGATCAGAGTCACATAGGCACCATCAAAGTAGCCAAAAGTACAAGCGAAAGGCACGAGCAGGGGGAGACTTTGAAGCATTGGGAGGCAGAGGTAGCAGAGCCCATCCATTCCGATGGCAAAGAGGTAGCAAATATACTGGTAATTCTTCAGACACCTGTGGAGGTGAAGACCAAGAATGAGTGCAGTATGCACAGGTTCCAACAAAGAGCTCTAGAGCCATGCCCAGGTAGCAGTAAGCGCTACAATTATTTATAGAGATGGCCTCCGCACTGTGTGTTTTCTATGTTGTCTTCCTGTCTTTCTTTTGGTATATGCAAATGCAAGAATGTATCTTCCCAGGAAGCATGGTATGGTAGAAAATAACCTGTGCTCTAAAATTAGAAAGGTAGAAGTTTGAATCCAATTCTACCACCTACTAACTGCCTAACTCTAACCTCAATTCCTTTAGCTATAAAATGGGGAGGCTGTCTTTCTCATAGTGTTATTCAAGGATAGTTGTGAAATAACACATAGAGTGTCAGGAGACTAATATTTTCTAGATGCTTTCAGATGTGTCATCCGTTAGTCTCCAGCACATCATATATGCTCAGTAACCCAAGTGGTTATACAAAGAGGAAGCCATAATATGAAGAAACGAAGGTGATTTGCCAGAGATTATGAAGGTCTTGTATTAGGACTAAGTCGTATTTCAAGACCTCCCCAGTGGTACTTCCATGAACACTTCCCTTTGTAGATCCAAACCCATCTATGATACCAATTATTTTAAAGATTCTGTATAATATCAGCACCAGCAATTTATGCTTTACAAATGTTTTTCTGCCCACAATCTCATTTAAGCCTCACAAAATGCTATAATGTCCATAGGCAAATATTGAACTGGCCCATTTTACAGATGAAGACCCTTGAGGATCTGAGGGTTAGGTGATTTTCTCTAGGTCACAGGGATAAGAAGGGGCAGAGCCAGCACAAGAACTTAGGTCTTGTATATCTCAGGCTAGAGATCCCTCTCTCAGACTTATACCAGGCTGCTTCTTGTTGAGTTATTTGATTGTAAGGATGGTTACCCTTTGCTCTCCCACCAACTCATTAACCATTAAAAATGTGGGTTTAATACTAAATATTATATTCATGATACTGGATAATGGCAGTTGGATCCTGATTAGTTCCCAAAGACATAACGTGTGAGAAGCCATAGGATGATAGCTCTTCCGGGTCATAGCTCAAGTGTGAAGATTCCATCATTTAGGAGAATATGAGTAGTTCGCTCTCTTCAATCCAAACAGATTAGCATTAGCTGAAGAAACTACTCAGTAGATTTCTTATAACTTTGGTTTCTAAGCCTAAAATCATAATGAAACTATTTGCTCTTCGCACTGTCAAATGTAAATACATGGCTACAGGGCTTCCCTGGTGGCGCAGTGGTTGAGAGTCCACCTGCCGATGCAGGGGACACGGGTTCGTGCCCCGGTCCGGGAAGATCCCACATGCCGCGGAGCGGCTGGGCCCGTGAACCATGGCCACTGAGCTTGCGCATCCAGAGCCTGTGCTCCGCAACGGGAGAGGCCACAACAGTGAGAGGCCGGTGTACCGCAAAAAAATAAAAATAAATTAAAAAATCAATCAATCAATCAATAAATACGTGGCTACAGATAATGTGTTATTATTGACCTGATCCTCCTGCCTGGACTGGAGTCTGTTCCTCTCTCTATTGCCAGCCACTCTCTGGGGTGGTTCAAAAGAAACTAAAACCACAATGCCCAGACAGAAGTTGTCTCACCGGAGGACTGATTTGACTTAGAATGGAATTAAATCTGTCACCAGAACTTCGCTTCTGCCATTTATACATACCCAACATCCTAAAAAATCTAGAACAGGTGTCAGCAAACTATGGCCAAATCCAGCCCACTACTTGTTTTTTGGACTGTGAACTAAGAATGGTTTTTCCAATTTTGAATGTTTGGAAAAAATCAAAACAACAATAAAATTTTGTGAGGGAAAAATTGTATGAGAAATTAAAATTTTAATTTAAGATTAAATAAAGTCTTATTGGAACATGGCCACTCTCTTGGTCACATATTGTCTATGGCTGCTTTTGTGTTACAACAGCAGAGTTGGAGAGTTGGAATCATATGACCCACAAAGCCAAGGTGACTTTGTCTGCTTAATGTCTGTCCCTTTACAGAAAAGTTTGCTGACCTCTGACTAGAAGAACCAACAAGAGAGTTGCCTTCAGATATCAAAAACCTGTTAACATTATTCAGACCTAGGTATTCTAGAGGGTAAGGTGATGAGGGGAAACTCAAAGTTTAAAGTCCCTGGTGGGGAACCAATGGCGGTTTCATGGATTTACCTTCTGTCAGTTAGCCATCCGAACGTGATATTGCCAATAATGTCAATCACCCCAAGTATGGACATGAGAAGAGCAGCTTGCTGGTGACTCACTCCAATACTCAGAGCATAAGGCACCATGTATACAAAGAGAGGGCTGCAGCCATAAGCCATAAATAGAACAGAGATGGCCAATACAACGAAGTCTGACATCAGTAAAAAATTGTATTCCTGCTGCAAAGAGCCACAGAGGCAGGTCTGCACCCATTCTTTAGTCCAAGTCAAAGAGGGAGACGCCCGCTGAAAGCCTTGTGTCTCAGTTCTACAGACATGGTTCTGCTCTGAAGTTGTTTGGTCATCTTTAAGAGTAATTGGCCGCATCAAGGCGCCGCAAACACAGAGATTCAGAACGAAACCCCCAAGGATGAGTAATGCTCCCCTCCAGGAAAATTGTTCAATAAGGAGCTGAACCACAGGAGCCAGGATGAAGATGCCAATGCCGCTTCCCGACATGGAGATCCCATAAGCAAGGGCTTTCCGTCTGCTGAAATACTTTCCAACCATGGCAATAGCTGGAGAGTAACAAAGTGCAAATCCAAGACCTGGGGATAAAGAGAACTCTATGAGTGCTGGTGGCACGGCATGAACAGCCAGGGAAAGAACATTTCTCAGAATCATACTATTTGGAATAAAGAGAATCTGAATCAAATAAGCCCTTTTAAAACTGCTTTCTACACCAAGCTGAAAATGAGTCTCCCCTCACCAGTCATCCACAATTTGCAAAGTATAGCATATATATGACTTTCTTCTTGGGAAGAAAAGCCTTAAGGGAATATGACTTAAGCAAAATAAAATGAAGAACTTAAAAACTATTATACAAGCTCAATTTGAATTAACTAGAAAATCAGGATAACACTGACCTAAGAAATTTATTCTCCCCACCACTTCTTTTTTAATAAATTAAAATTAATTTTAATAAATTAAATTATCTCTGGATAATTTAAGTATTTTTAAACTATCTCTGGATAATTTAAGTATTTTTAAATTATCCAGAGAATTACTTCAACTCTTCACTGCCCCTGAAGACACAACTCTGATAATCTGGACCACACTGGAATTTGGGTCTAAATAGCATTTGTGACCCCGTGAAAGCTCCAGAGTAATCTCACATATTGGGAAACATTGTGCCAATTTTATACACGAACGTAGCATGTACACGTAGCCACCTGAAAATATCCCTTAAAGTCAGCAGAACGCCTCTTCAAGATTTTCCATTTCTATTCCTTTTAAGTCAAGAAAACTTGAAGGGCTTTAAACCTGGAATTTAAATGTCAAGGAAGGAAAAGGAGAACTACCTTCAGCTCCTGTTCCCATCTGCAGAGCAGAGTGAGCAATGATCCCAATTTGCCTGCACTGAGGGGTTTCCCAGATGTGAGGCTTTCAGCACCAAGACCAGGATAGTTCCTGGTAAACTGGGATGATGGGACACCCTAGCAGTCAGGCCCTTTGGATGACCGGGGACAGATACCTTTTTTAGCTGACAGAGCTAGATTTATAACCTTACTACGAGATTATATCCTTTATTGGCCTGATCATGCTACCCCTGTGGCCCAGACAAGAGTTAGTGTTACCCTCCCCTCTAAGTGATGGGGCAGAAAACTGCTACTCTAGTCCCACCAACCAAGCCCACCTTGATCCTATGCAGTCCCTGTAAGTGTGATTTATGGAATGCACATCAGTTGCTTCTCTTTCTATGGGCTTCATTTTTCTAAAGATACTTCCATAACATCGAAAGAAAATGTGCAATGTAAGAATATTCACAGGGGCTTTCTTTTTAAAATGGTAAAACCCCATTTATTGGACAATGGTACTCACTATAAAGTAGGGGCAACTCAGGTCAACCACAGACAGTATTTCAATGTCTTGGAAAAGATGTTGGGAGAATGATCATTGCCGAAAATTTATGTTGCTCTGGCTAATGTCACATTGCTTCTGAGTGGAGAATCTCAGCCATACACGGCTGCCCAAGGGAAAGCCAGCAGTCACTGTTGTCAAGTGGCTGAATTAAAGTGGTGACACATTTTCACTACAGTACGACAGTCCATTGCATTTCTAGCCCTTTTGGTTAACTGCTAGGTAGGCAGACATTAAGATAAATTATGCATCTTACAAAATGAATATTTTATTAATTACTGATCTGTTGGTGGGCTTGAAAACCCCTGGATAGGGTGGGGTGAGAAGGGTGGTACGAAGTGCCCTTACCTGTAAGAACTCCCAGAGTGAGGTAGAGATGCTTCAGACTGGTGGCAAATGAGCCCAGGATGAGACCAGTAGATGCAAGCAAGCCACCCAGCATGATTCCCACTTGACAGGAAAAATGGTTACTGACAACACTCCCAAGTGGAGCTTCAAAAACAATAATAAATAGGTTCAACACAAAGGCCTTGAGGGCACTGTGGAAAGGCTGTGGGCGCTGCGTTGGCAGAGCAGAGAACGACCCATCTTCAAAGCCTCGAGCCCACCCCACTCATTCTACAGATTCGGAAACCAAGGAGAGAGGAAGTGACTTGTCCATGGTCCCACAGAGAATAAGTAGCAAAGCTGGAATTAGGATCACATCTCCTGACTGGCGTTTGACGGCTCATTCCACATCTCCATTCTATGACAGCCATAATCCCAGGATTATGTGGTATTTTTTAAACAGTGAATCAGCTCCTTTAAACTACATGTCACCTGCACAGCGATGTGCCTTGTATGTTTCATATAGTGTTGATCATACACAATTAACAATAATTATGACAGGTAAACGGTAGAAAAGGAAAGTGGGCAACACGGCATGGCCAGCAGTGTTATGCAGGAAAAGGCCAGGCAGAGAGATCATAGACAAATTTCACAATCTGGCACTGTTTCCAGGCTTTTGGAAACTCTGTGGATGAGAAATCAAAGCCCAGAAAATCTAGGAAATGAGATGATACATTTTGGTTGGCCTCACTCTATTTGTGGTTTAACAATGTGTCAGAATTGTGCCAACTTCCAGGCTTATAGACTAATAATTAAAGCTGGAAGAGGCCAAACAGAAATTGAAGCTTAGGGGAATATGACATACCCAAGATCACCAAGAACTATACAGTTCAGGGAACCTTACACCGAGTGCAGGGTTATTTCACCCTGTTATTCTGGCTCCTTGGGTCTCTCAGACTGATGGCAGAGATGATGGGTGAGGAATGTATGTGAATTTCTTTCTGAAGAATAATTCATGCTGACACCAGTACTCCTAGTAACAAGATCAGAAGAGCCAATTCTCTAGGTATCTGTGGAGTATAATTTTGATATCGATCAGGTTAAAATTGGGTGTGACACAAATGTACACGATAGAATCAGTCATCAGCTTAATATCCCATCTAGTTAGAATAGTGGCTGGCTGCATATATAACCTCCGGAGAATAGGAATGAGCAAATCTCCTGAAAATATATCTAATTCTTCAGACTGATGCTGCTATGGCTATTGGAAAGTGACAAAATGTATACTAAACTCAATGAAAAATGTTCACTTCCCTGTTCGTCATAGGACAGATATGACCCCAATGGGTGTCCCAGATGTGATTCTGCAGAATTTAAATATTCTGCATCTAACATGACCCCGCTCTTAGCTCAATGCCTCACATGGTCATTGTGACCACTGTGGTCACTGAAGGCCATTTATTCCTCTTTGAGGGATTATAAATATTCTCCAAAAGATATCAGTGAGAGAAATGAATCACCTGTATCCTCCATGAAAGATAAACACGGCTGTCTTGGCATGCTCACACAAAGGCTGTGCCTAATCATCTGACCCTGAAAACCAGGTGATCATCTTACTGGTTAAAATAAAAAAGACAGGCTAGAAATAAAACCTGAAGATATGATTTCTTGATCCCTTATGACCTTCCTGCGTTATCAGTAGCGTCTACTTAGCCATCTCATGAAACCTAGAATTGCACTCAAATTCCTCCCAACCAAGGAAATACATTTCAGCACAAATCAACCAATTCCTGATTATGTACATTTTTCTAAAAATAAATATGCATCAGTACCTAGAATGGCATAGATGACATTATTTATGATACCAAATAATATAGTATTTCTCTTTTGCCATTAAGACATGGCCTGAAGAGATAACAGTTTTCTAAAATACTCAGGAGTCACCTAAATGAAAGGATTACATGGGTCTCGTCTGCAAATAGATCATTTTGATTTGACCCAATTGCAGAAAATTTCTATGGCACTCATTTAATAACTTGGTTGGAAAGTTTTAAAAAGAAAACTCTCAAGGTTAGTTTTTCCTTAGATCGATGAGAGATTCCATGAATCTTGAGAACACTCTGTACACCGTACGTAGCACCTGTGCGGCTCTTGATGAAAACTACAGCCGTAGTGAATGTGCTTATCTCATGATTGCACCATTCTATCCTTCTACAATACTTCCCTAAGAATGAAGATTGATGCATGAAAAACGAGCCAAATTTTGAACCCTCTGGGAAGGGATGAGAATGAAAACAAGACTTGAGACGTGATGCACACATTGTTGGCACTCTTTTAAGGAGATCACATTGAAATGGCTCGCGGTACTTTCCAATGGCTGTTTATGTGACTGGAGAATGAGGGGACCACAGCATTCAGAAGAAAGCAAGCATATACTGTACGGTTAACTGCGTCCAAAATCAGGACAAGTACTGTGATTGCCCAGTTCCCTATCTCTATAGGTATGTGTCCAATTGACTGTATTCACTACCTGGTCCTTCTGACATCAGCCAAGAATGTTAACTGCAAAAGCACATCTGGGGGAGTTTGGCTAAATGCAGGATCGTACTTTTCTTTTTAGATGGTTTTAGCCAATTTTTAATCATAGCCCTTCTACTCAGAAAAACTGGTCATCAAAGGCAGTGGAAGGTCACTGTCATGTATAGTTCAAGGGTAGCCAGTAGTTATCTATCCCTGGAGATACTCACCGCAGAGCATGGTCACACAGTCTACAATGGAATGGATCCAGGCTGTCTGTGCATAATCCTGAGAGAAGTATGTCTGGAAGTCCACAAAAAAAATTGAAATACATCTGAAAAAAAAAGTGCAAACATTTTATACCAAAAAAAAAAAAAAAAAAAGAATGAACATGTATTTGATTGAGAGTTTCAAGTTTTGGTTCAATCATCTGTTCTAGTCTCCAGGGGTTTTAATTGATTTTCAATGGTACGTTGCTGGCCTGTAATAAGTGGGAAATCAGAAGCTAACCATTGAGATGTTCTAAGGGATAAGAACAAGTGTTTAGGACTTCCCTGGTGGCACAGTGGTTAAGAATCCACCTGCCAATGCACGGGACACGGGTTTGATCCCTGGTCCAGGAAGATCCCACACGCTGAGGAGCAACTAAGCGCGTGAGCCACAACTACTGAGCCTGTGCTCTAGAGCCCTTGAGCCACAACTACTGAGCCTGTGTGCCACAACTACTGAATCTCACACGCCTAGAGCCCATGCTCTGCAACAAGAGAAGCCACCGCAGTGAGAAGCCCACACACTGCAACCAAGAGTAGCCCCTGCTCGCCGCAACTAGAGAAAGCCTGTGTACAGCAACGAAGACCCAACGCAGCCAAAAATAAATAAATTAATTAATTAAAGAAACAAGTGTTCACCCACTAGAGTGGCTGCTGAAACCAAGTGGTTGCGAAGATCACTGCTGTAGGGAAGGTCTTATGGAAAAGATGACAGGTCAGACACATGGATTGTTACTCATCATACTGTTTCACTAACATCTGAAACTTCTAAGAGGTTGTTATACAAGTTAAGACTTGACAATAAAGTATTATACATCACCCAGCAATTTCACTTCTAGGTTTTAAGCAAAGTTAATAAACAGATGGTGATGATAATAATAATAGATACACATAAAAGGATATACTCCGGAGAACTATTTATAATAGCCAAATATTGTAAACAGCATATATGTCCGTCAGTAAGGGACTGGTTAAGTAACTTATAGCACATCAATAAAATGAAATATTATTAGGTATTAAAAATGATTTGCTTTGTATTTATTGATTTGGAAATAAATTCACAATATAATGCTAAGTAAAAAAGTAAGTTACAAAATAGCTCATATAGTAAGGGCTTATTTTTATAAAAATGTACTTCATGTAACTAGAAAAAGACTGAAAGCATATTAACCAAAATGTATCCGGTCATTATATGTGCATGGTGAGGTTATAAATGATTTTTTGTCTTTATTCTGCATTTTGAATTATTTTACAGCGAACCTGATTTCTTATACAATCAGAAATTTATCTGTGTGTGTGTATATACATACGTATGGGGGTGTATATACAGAGACAGAGACAGAAACAGAGACAGAGAAATTTTTATGCTGAAAAATAGCTAATTACTTAGGAAAAACAAGACATAAGTGATCCAGAAGCAATAGTTTGGAATGAACCGCACACAGATAATTCAAGACAGGAAGCTTTTAGAGCTCCGTGATAGCAGGGAAAGAAATCAGGCCTTGCAGCTTGGAGATGAGATAGGAGGATATCTGTCTCCTTGGATAGGACCACATTCCAACTCATTATGCTTCAGCAGCCCCTAATAACCTGTTATTTTACTCTCTCTTTCCTCTCCAGTTGCTGCTGGATGTAAAAGTGAGTGATGGAAAAGTTAAAGAAGGGGGAAGAGAATCAGGACTGCTGTGTTATGATGGTCCAGCTTCATGGGCATACAACCTATACAGTCGCACAGAATCTGGCACTCAGAAGCATTAAACTTGGTTCAACTCAGCTGTCACTGTCTTAAAATTCCTAATAATTTTATCTTTGAATTTGCATATTGTAAGTGAAGTCCAATGGGACAATGAAGCATGCATGTGAGCAGAGAGCTACGGATTCTTCAGTCTGCAATTCTGTGCGTTTCCATTTGCACATAGTCTTAGAGATGCCCCAGGACACAGAATTCCAGTAGACTCTTGTGTGGGAGTCCAGTACTCAGACTGAGTACCAGGTAAGTGTGTTACACCTACAACTGAGTGAGCACGTGCACAGGGGAGTGAGAGAGAAAGACCATGCTTTCCTTTCAAACCAAAACTTGCTTCAAATGCAGAAGAAGGCAATGGTGTTTTAAGAAAGACAAAGGGCCGAGTATTCCTATCAGATCCTTTCTTACTCGTGTTGCTTCTCTGGATTAGCTGATCACTTAATGCTTAAAATGATGACACAGAAGGAAAGTAAAAGGTAGGGCTACCGGTAATATAAAGATGAATGGCAGATTTGTGCTACTAATTTAACATTTCCATTTTCTTTACTCAGAACAACACTAAATAGTAAATTTAAAACACCGTGAAAAACCGAGACCGCTGAAAAAAGGAAAAGCTTCCCATTTTAGTACGTTTACCGGCCCTTTTTTCCCTGCCTTTTGAACAAGGGGTCCTGCATTTTCATCTTGCACCAGGCCCTGTAATAATGTTGCTAGTCCTGGTGATAGGAAAGAGAAAAGGGACGGTATAGGGCAGCGATCACCAACCTTCTCGGCACCAGGGACCGGGGACCGGTTTCGTGAAGACAATTTTTCCACGAAGCGGGGCGGGGTGGCGTGAGGTGGGGGATGGCTCAGGAGGCAATGCGGGCGATGGGGAGCGGCCGATGAAGCTTCGCTCACTCTCGCCCTGCTCACCTCGTGCTGTGCGGCCCTGTTCCTAACAGACCGCGGGCTCGTGTCCGCAGCCCGGGGGTTGGAGACCCCTGGTATAGGGTGCTAAATTCTAAGTCCCAGAAGGTACTGGGATGGAGTTTGATGTGCAGAGTACAGAGAGGGATCAACCCTCGTGGGCAGGATTAGGCAGAGTGAGCTGGGCAAACAGATATAGGCCTGACAGGCCTCAGCCAATCCCCAGGGAAATGGGCGGGCCTTTACGCACCTCCCTCCGTCAATCATTGGATATGGGCACCGCTGGAGGGGCGAGCTCTCGCGAGAGGCAGCTCTGCGCAGGTGAGGGGGACCCTGCGGACACTGACAGCTGATGTTCACCCTGCAGCTGAGACCCTCCAGATGGCACACCTCTGTATTCACCAGAGTCCCGTTCTTGTCCTCCACACTGAGCACTGTATGGGATGATATCTATCAAAGGGACATCAAAAGTTGTCCTTCCCCTTTCACTGATTTAAGAAACCAGACAACGTGCTATAGTAGATCCGATGCTAGGTTAATAATTATATCAGAGTTTGGAGTACTGAAACATAGTCACAACGAAAATGCAGAGAACGATAACATAAACTACCCGGCTGAGTGTATAAATTTAACTTTAATTAAAATATTGCAGAACTTTTTCTAAAGCATGAGCTAACTGCAACAGACTTAGACTAGTTTTAATTCGGTACAACAATAACAGGAAACTCTACGATGTTTCTTAACATCCTAAAGATTGCTAGACTAGTACAAAAAGTCTAGGCCTTCGATTTAAGTGAATAATGATTTCTTGGATATAGCCTCAGTATCAAAATAGTTAAGTTATCCTTAGCCCAGGGTTTCTCAGTCGAAGCACTATTGACATTTCGGACCTGATAATTCTTTGTCCTGGGGGCTGTCCTGTGCGTTGCAGGATGTTAAGCAGCATCACTGGCCCCTGCTCAGAATGTCTCCAGACGCTGCCAAAGGTGCCCCCGGAGAGCAAAGTCAGCCTGTTTAGGACCACTGATCTAATCAACCATCAAATTCTGCTATCCTACCTTATACATATCTTTCAAACGCTGCCACGGAGCTCCACTGCCTTTATCATTTATCATTCATGACAACACTTCTCTCCTGGACTGCAGCCAAAACCCTCCTAACTGATTTTCCTGAATTCACACTTGGCTGCCTTCAGTATATTCTACACTCCATGGTCCAAGTGTCCTCCTCACTAGAACACAAATCAGATCCTGATGCTTCAAACTTTTTTTTTTCCCGTTGCGGAGCACAGGCTCCAGACGCGCAGGCCCAGCGGCCATGGCTCACGGGCCCAGCTGCTCCACAGCATGTGGGATCTTCCCGGACCGGGGCACGAACCCGTGTCCCCTGCATCGGCAGGCAAACTCTCAATCACTGCGCCACCAGGGAAGCTCACTTCAAACTTTTTAACATGACTTATGAGACCCTGCATAAGTTGGTCCTTCTTAGCATCTCTCCTTTCTTCCCATCTGGTGCAAGCCTCCCTCATTCTTTTAGTCTCAAGATAATAGTCAACTCCTCCAGGAAGGCTTCCTTGACTACCTGAGTCTGGGCTTGATACCTTTCTTAAGTATTTCCACTACATGCTGGACCCTTACCACACTGTGTGGCAATGTTCTTTGCATTTGTTTGTATTTTCCACTAGACTCTTGCTCTGTGACAGCAAAGACCATGTCTGTCTTATCTTGCATTGAATCCCAAATATCTAGTACCATAGCTTCCATGTATGCGGTGCTCATTAAACATTTTTCAAGGTTCAAGGTACGAAAGGAAGGAAATTAGGAGGGAAGGCAGGCTGAGAGTTGCTAGAGAAGTCACTGGAAGATAAAGAAGTGAAATGGTTGAGTAGCAACTTCAAGAACGTGAATGAGAAAGGAAGAACAGATGGCATCTATGTAGGAGCACGTGGCTAGATATGGTACAGTAGAGGTGTGAAGAATCTGAGCTTATAAGCTGAGAGAAAGAATTAGTAAAAGAGAGATGCAGAAGTTGGAAATGTGGAAGAACATAGGACAACTAAGAGGAAAGCACCCCAAACGATAATAAGATATTTTGGTGTTGTAAATCATAATCTCTTCTCTCCACTAAATTGTTTTGGGGGGTTTAATATTTGTGGGACTATGTTTATTTCTGGTGACTTTTTTTTAACCTGTTCTGTTATTTTGTTTTCTGTTTGATGGGTTTTTTCCAACTGATTTGAATAGTCATATCAAACTGTAGGTATGTAAAATTCAGAAGTAACACCTGAGATTCTTGCCCACACATGTGAGTAGGCTTGTCAGAGGTAAAATTTAATAACCACATACACATGCTTCTTTTTTTAATATATAAATTTATTTATTTTTTTATTTTTGGCTGTGTTGGGTCTTC